GTTTTTTTTATGTGCACTGCATTCCCACTGGGATCAGGCCCAGAGCCTCATGCCCTGAGCTACCTACTAGACAACATTCAACAAACCCACCAGTGCAGATCCTGTATCTCACCGTGCTGCAGCTGGGCACCCATGCATTCTCCCAAAGCCTGCCCAGGAACACAAAGCACTCTGTTGGACATCCAGTCAAGCTGTTGGGTCAAGGAGCTTCTGTGCCCAGGTCTGCTGCTACACAGCCTGTGAGAGCGCAGCCAGGGTCAAAAGAAGACGGAGCAGCGCTGGCAGGTGCCCTTCTACCTGCGCATAAACCTGCAGCTGCTGGAGTGTGATTATCTGGTGTTTGCTGTGCCCCCGTGGTCCCTCACATGACAGCCCATGAGAGTGATGCCTGTCGATGTGTGACCGCAAACAGTTCTATCACCACCCATGGGTGGCAAGGGGCAGACTTTGCTGGGTGCCCTTGAAACAGTGAGGAAAGTTGTTGTTAATGACCAAACCACATCTTCTGCTCATGCCCAGGAAACCAAACTATGAACCATAAGAAATGTCTGTTTACTGAGAAGTTTGAAATGGCCTGCAAGGGAGTCAGTGGGACTCCAAAAGAAGTTCCCAAATGAAGGGAGTTCTGAGATTACATAAGGAAGGAAGTGGAAGAGAGAAGCACAGGGCTTCCTATTTCCAGGTCCCAGGCGAGGCTGAGCTGCCTGAATCCAGCTCCCTGAGTCCAGGTGTTCGTTTTCCCAGCAGGGTGGTGTTTTCTCAGTAATCAGCAGGTGCTGGTTTCTGATGTCATTACCAACCCCAGAGGAACATAGTTTTGTTAGGGATGCAACGAAATCGATTTTCCAAGTTCCTAGGAATGGGGTGGAAACAGTTAACAGTAAATCATGAGGAGGGGGGTGTAGGGAAGAGAGAATATAGGGTGGCTACAGTTTAATTCCATTTATTCTTAATTTTTAGTCAAAGGACGTTTTTTGTTGTTGCAAAATGGAGGGAATCTAACTACTTGGTCATTGCTTCCAAGGCCATGAAAATGGGTGAGTGGGAGACATATTTTGTTATCAACACGAAGGTGAATAGCCAAGTGTGGGATCTTTACAAAAGTTCAAACCAAGATGTTCAGGAAGGTCCAGGAGTCACTGCAGACCTGCCTCCTCACCTTCAGCAGCATCTGGACTGTCGGCATGGAGGCAAGGCTGTGGCCCTGTTTGAGTTGGATCTTGCCACCAGGTACTCCATCAGCAGCAAGATAATCATAAATGAGTTGATGGCCTCCCTGGACAGAGAGGTGACCATCACACTGAGCTCAAGCTCACCATTCCACAGAACCTTGCTCTGCGACAGACCGAACACCCTGGTGGAGAATAAGGGGTGTCTGGCCATCAGCGTGTCCCAGAGACCAGAGGAGGACTACCACAAAAGCAAAGACTACGTGTGCCTCGGTGGCTGCTGCCAACAGCGGTCAGGCAGCCTACTGATGGCTCCACTTCTGTCCCTGTGACCTGGACCATTCAGCCTTTAAGTCCTAAGTCAACAAAGGTCCATTTAGGATAGTTTTTTGTTTGTTTTTTAGAAAGAGTGAAAATTGGGTAGTTAAAGAATGAATTCAACTGAATAATATTTAGAAATTTTATTGGCTTTTACCAGCCACTCTCCAAAAGCTTTTACAGGGCAAGAGATTTTATAAGACAGAAGGGAGCAGAAACAAGGAAGTTGCACCAGACAAAAAGGCAGGTTTATTATTGTAAGTTTACTTTCCCTATCGGAGAAAACTAGGGCTTATCAGGCAAGTGACCTAACTAACCAGTGCCGATTAGTTGATTCCTGATTGACTGGTTTAAGGAGAGCTGAAACTGTTAAGTCTAGGTTTGGTGATGTGGAGCTTAGCATATATAACTGCATTTTGGCCACAAAGTGTGTTTGAGGAAGAAAAGGTGACCCCAGTTAAATCAGTAATGTGGCACCCCTACAGGCATTAGTTTATCTCTCCCACTTTTCAAATGAGGAACCAGAGCTAAAGTTGGTCTGGGGCAAGTTTGAAGTAGCCCTAGATGGGTGGGCGAGCCTACACCTCGACAGGGCACATCTGTGGCAGGAGACAAGAGCAAGTGGTGAGGCTGCTACATACTCAGATTTGGGAGATTTAAATGAGAGCATTTCCTGTGAATCAGCTTATTTGGATGAATCTGAGCCGAGGAGGGTGGATCCCTGTCCTGTGGAAAGACTCAAAGGCTCCGACTCCATGCTTATGTACCCTTGCCTCTCCGATTTCTTGGGACAGAAGCAGATGGCTGCTGAGAGAGAGAAGGTAGGGGCAGAGTTCCAGGCCCTGAGGGCCTTCCTGGTGGAACAAGAGGGTCGGCTCCTGGGCCGCCTGGAGGAGGTGTCACGGGAGGTGACACAGAAGCAGAATGAGAACCTGGCCCAGCTGGGGAGTGAGATCGCCCAGCTCTCTAAGCTGAGTAGCCAGATCCAGGAGACTACTCGGAAGCCGGACCTTGAATGCCTTCAGGTGAGTCTGCTTGGCCTGAGTCTGGAAATAGCAGCCAGAACACAGTGAGTGTCTGTGAGTTTAATAGAGTCACATAATCAAAAACCAAAGGGGGGCCCCTCCCTGGTGGCTCAGGGGGTTAAAGCATAGCACCATAAAGCTATCAGCAGCCACTGCAGCACAATTTCGATCCCTGACTCCCCCGCCAGGGAGGTGACCACATGGCGCGGCAGACCTCTCCTGACCTGCTCGCTGCTCCCCTCAGCAGTGTACTTCACTAGATCTGCCTGTTCTGCTCCCAACTCTTGTCTCTGGTGGATCCCCTCACCCCTGTGCTTCTAGCCTGCACCCCAGTTCTTGTGTGCATAGATAAATGTCTTTGAAAAGCAAATCAGAAAACAAAGGGGACTGGAGCAAGGTGCCCTGGATTTTCTGGGTAAGAACTGTAAAGGAATGTGGTAACCGGTCTTGACCATGAGCCATGATGATATATTTTACATCACTCTCCGGTATATACACACACTCGAGACAAAAGTCTCAGAAACTTTTTCTGTACTTTTACTACATGTTATGAACTTTGATGTTTTCCATTTTATTTAAACATAGTCACAATCCACTAAACTTCACACATCCTAAATGGGTTAACAACCATCATTTAGGTATTAGCCTGAGTGACCAGTCATAGCATAAGGCTATGACTTGTTTTGGTTGGTGTCAAGTCCAGAGGGTTCTAGCACCTGGCCCCAGGGCTGATTCTGTAATAAAAGGTGCATTTGCAGAGCGATGGCATGGTCACCAGGTTGATGAGAGACCCAGTGGCCAGCCCTGGTGGGAAGCCAGTGCCTCTGAGGCCAAGACTGGTGGGCGATGGGCAGTACAGTCACTTATTGCTGATAGCTCTGGAAATCGGACAAGGGATTAGTTTCAAAGGTGAATGTAGTTTACCTGATGTTAATATGGCTTTATTTGATTTCTTTCCCCCAGGAATTCAAAAACACACTGAACAGGTGAGTAGACCTAAGAGTTCCTTGGGCCTCTTCATGCTGGCTCTTCTTTTCCATTGAGTTGTTTTTCATGTCCATGCCCCCAGCAGCCGCTCACCTCCTGACACCTCCTCCAGCCCTCATACACTGCTTTATGCTGGTACTGTCTGGGCCATGGGTGTTTATTCTGGCACAAAATCAGGCTCTTCTTTTTCTTTTTTTAAGATTTATTTATGCCTACAAGAACTGGGGTATAGGCTAGAGGTACAGGGGGTAAGAGGATTCACCAGAAACAGAGTGGGGAGCAGAACAGGTGGATTAGCTGCTGAGGGGAGCAGCGGGTGAGACAGGAGAATCTGCTGCACCATGTGGGTCGCCTCCCTGGCTGGAGATAGAACTCATGCTGCAGTGGCTGTGGATAGCTTCATAGTGCTGTGCTCTAACCCCTTGTGCCTTCGGGGAGGGCCCAGGCTCTTCTTTTTCTGACTTTCCTCACCAAGAAGACTTTAGCATCCTAATTGTCAACAGCTTGGTGGGAGTGGACAGTGTTTATGGGCCTCTTCTGTGTGTCCTGTAGGTGCAGCAATGTGCCAAGCCCCAAGCCAACCACAGTCTCTTCTGAGATGAAGAATAAAGTCTGGAATGTTTCCCTCAAGACATTTGTCTTAAAGGGGCTGCTCAAGAAATTCAAAGGTAGGGTTTCTGTGGGAGGTCTGGGCCTGCAGTGTATGAGGTGGTATGTCTCTGGTAGTTTGGGGTTCTGAGGTTCCAAAAGGTGTGTGAGAAAAAAGGAGCTGGGATAGTCTAGACCAGAATAATGTGGGAGGTTGTAGTGGCAAATATATCTAGGCTCTTTCCACAGGCATGAAGTTTTCCCTGAAAATGGATGGGTGGAAAGGGGAAAGTACTGGGAGCAGAAAGAGAAGCGAGGAGGGAGAGCTAAGCTTACCTCAGCTCCAGGCGAAATAGGAGGAAGTCGGAAGAGGCAGAGTGAGGATACTGCCCCTTCCCCACCCCAGCTTGGCCCAGCATCTTCCACTCTTGGCCTCTGGGGTATCTGGGGAGTGAGAGAACCAGTGGGACTATAAATGTCGGAGGAGGTGATGTCTTAGTGTCTGTCATTGCCAGACAGATACATCTTTGTCTCTCATGTACGCCCTGCTTTGCTTTCCTCCTCAGAGGATCTTCGGGGAGAACTGGAGAAAGAAGAGAAAGGTATGATGGTGTTTTGGGTTATTTGCTCACATAAAGAAAGAATCTTTGCCCACAGGGGTTCCTTCTACTCATCTTCCTCTGCCACTTTGCCCCTGCTGTCCTTTATCCCCTTGCCTGAAGTTCCGGCAACTTGTAAGCCATGGGTTGATCTGGGAAAAGGAGTGCCCTGTACCATGGGGCACTTAGACTGGGGAGGGCTTATCAGTTACCTGGATGAGCCTTTTTATCCTGTCCCCACTAATAGACAGACCTCTTATGGGGGTGGGGGTTGTATAGAGGGAACAGGGGAAGCAGGAGACTGAAGACAGAGGTGGTTCTTACTCCTGCACAGCTCTGGGGTGAGTGGACACACACACTCCTGATTATGAAAAGAACTAGGAAGGATGTCCTTGCTCTGCTCAGAACCCTTCATTGTCCCCTGTCACTGAAGACGGTGGCCTTCAAAGTCGTATGGAATCCAATCTTACTCTCTGTTCTTCTGGTCCATGCCGTGGAGCGACACACCCCTCTTGCTGTTCTTGGGACACATCAAGCACACGGCTACCTCAGGGCCTTTGCCCTGCGTTGCCTGTGCCCTGACCTAGGATTTCCTTCCCTTGGACAGCTTCATACCTGGCTTCCTCACCTCCTTTATGGCTTTGCTTCAGTGTGCCCTTTCACTGAGGCCCTTCCTAACCCCTATAGTTGAAATTAAAGCTTTTCTCTGGATCCTCCTGTCCTCTATATTTGCCATTTATTGTTTTTCCTCCTTCTTACCCCAGAATCTACACATGGCCATAGATACTTGACTATGGGGTTCCTAGGACCTATGACAGGCCTGAAACATACTAGTGCTTACAAGTGGCATATTTTAATGTTTTATTATGGAAATTTTCAAACATACATACAGGCAGAGAGAGGAGCACAGTGAATATTTTGTGCTCAACATACACCTTCAGCTGTTACGATTCATGGCTAATGTTTTTCATAAACATCCCTACCTACTGAATTTTGAGACAAGGCATAGAAGACATACCATTTTCCTAAGTATCTCAGCATTTATTATCTCTAAACAGACTTAAAAAAAAATCTAATCACAAAACCATTATTTGAGCTACAAAAATTAATTATTTTGTCCAATATCTAGTCCTCAAATCCCCGGGTTGTCTTTTAAATTGGAATCTAAATCAGAGCTGTACATTGCATTTGTTTGATTTCAACAAGTAGCTGTTGAGCCAAAGGAAAAGCAAAAGGAAGGGCCGGAGCTGAGTAAGGGGCTGTGTAGTGACATCCTCCCTGTCTCTGCCCTGCAGTGGAGCTCACCTTGGACCCAGACACCGCAAACCCCCGCCTCATCCTCTCGCTGGACCTAAAGAGTGTGCGCCTTGGACAGCGGGCCCAGGACCTGCCCATCCACCCACGCCGCTTTGACACCAACACTCGAGTCCTGGCGTCCTGTGGCTTCTCCTCGGGGCGGCACCACTGGGAGGTGGAAGTGGGCTCCAAGGACGGCTGGGCCTTTGGAGTGGCCCGGGAGAGCGTGCGCCGCAAGGGCCTCACGCCCTTCACCCCTGAGGAGGGTGTCTGGGCACTGCAGCTCAACAATGGGCAGTACTGGGCGGTGACCAGTCCTGAGCGGACACCACTCAACTGTGGGCATCTGTCCCGAGTGAGGGTGGCCCTGGACCTGGAGGTGGGGGCCGTGTCCTTTTATGCCGCAGAGGACATGCGACACCTCTACACCTTCCGAGTCAACTTCCACGAGCGTGTGTTTCCCCTTTTCTCTGTCTGCTCCACTGGTACCTACTTGAGAATCTGGCCTTGAGGACTAATGTCCCCATCCTCCCGTAGAGCCAGTCAAGGACAGACTCCTCTGGTCCCTGATTAATGATGGGAAGGGATGATATCTGGCCTTTGGTCCCTTTGGAACTGCCCTCTACACTCCTACCCACACTGCTCCAGAGGGGCTTCCCCCCGCCAAAGCATGGGGGCATCATGGTGGCCCGCTGGGAAATGGGCTTTTGTGGTCAGTGATCAGCTCTGCCTTCAGAAATCTGAATCTAGTAGGCCTGACAGGGTTATCTACTCAGGGAGGAACATTGTGTTCCAAGCTCAGACATTAGTCTGAGCTAGAATTTGAATAAATACTTTTAATCTGTACATGAAGGAAAAGTCCAGGACAACAGCATAGGGATGTTGCTGCCCTCAATCACCCATTAGCCTGATGATACAGGGTGATAAGTATGTCCTCAGTCACAGAGACAGTCCTGTGTTCTCACCAATGTCTAAACTCCCCTCAAGTGTTAAAGTGCAGAGCTCTCTCTGGGGGTGCGAGGGGTTAAAACGCAGCACTAGGACGCTACCTGCAGCCAGAGTTCTATCCCAGGCCAGGTTGGTGACCCACATGGTACAGCAGACCTCTCCCGTCGCCTGCTGCTGCCCTCAGCAGTGTATTTCAGCCCATCTGCCTATTCTGCTCCCCACTCTCTTCTCTGGTGAATCCTCTCAACCCCAACACCTCTGGCCTGTACCCAAGTTCTTGTTGTGTAAATAAATAAACCTTAAAAAAAAAAAATAGTGCTAAAGTACAGTCTCCCTTGGGTAAGGAAACCATGGGAATTTAGAAACACAGAATGCATAGAAATGCATAGAGCACAGACACGCCTCCTGGAACTTGCCAAATGTAGCCAAAACCTGTGTAACCAAGGAATCTGTGCCCTGGTAGGTGTTATCCCTTTGGAAAGTCCCCTTGGTTACCCCAACTTCTTTATGACCGGGATTCTGTGATGGAGTGGGCTCCTGGGAAGCACTGTCCGCTGCTGAGTCCCCCCTGGAGAAGTATCGTGGGGAGATGGAAATACAGGTGTGGTCTCATTTCTAGTGACTTGCCTCATTGCTGACTCCTCCAATCCCAACACTTGCGTAAGAGCACAAGTGTTAACAATGGGCCTCCCTTGTGGCTTAGGGGTTAAGTCTCAAATTTACCACCACTACAGGCTAGCCTGACAGACAGCCTGAGTTTGAGACAGTATTCGATCCCTGACCAGGCTGCTAGCTCACAGTAAATCCGCTGAGCAGTAAATCCGCCAGCTCTGCTTCTCAGTCTCCGGTGAATCCTTCCCTTCCCCGCACCTGAATACCCCAGTTCTATGCCCAAACAAACCAAATCTTAAAAAACAAAACAAACCCCAAAGTGTTAGCAAGGGCTTCTGCCAGACTGGGTGAGCATGTTTTATGGCCATGTGTGTATATTTCAGATTGCAGGCCCTGGGTCATGTTAATCTTGGAGAGGACATCTGTGAACATGTGCATAGGGCATTGGCATTGCAGATAGACCTTGATCAGACTCTCTTACTGGTTTGTTGGTAGATACTAGCCACTTCATATTTAGATGGCGGGTGGTAGGATTCGTCCTCCACTACCTGACTACCAGCCTGGATGAAAGTCTCAGCCTGAATTCTGTCCCGCACAGTTGTTAAGGTGTATGTGTTGGCATGCAAGGACAGTGACAACTGAGGAGCTTGCATGTGTCATGCAGTTTCCATGCTTTGTCCCTTGAGGTGCCTCAAGCACACTGTGCACCAGGTTCTTGTAGGGCCGTCATGGCGCTGTTCTGGAGCCAGACTCAGCGCACTGTGCCAGGCAGTCGGGCTCCGTGGACGAGTACCACATACAGCAGCATTCCAGAGGGGGAATCCTATGTTCTGCTCATACACAGACAGTAACTCCAGAACATTGTAGCCAACCCACCTACCTGAATACCACTGGTTTTCACAAAGAAAATCCACTTCTAACATTGATTTATTAATCAAATTGTCTGATGTTGTCAATGTTATCTGTGCTCTCAGGTTGACTATCACAATTACTCTGATATTGTCTAGCAAATATTCTCAAGTTTTATAACACAGAAGGTGGGGGTGACTGGTGCAGTGGAGGTACCTGGAGGACTAGGTCTGGAGACTTTAGGGGTGATATGTACTCTTTGTTTTTGCTTGCAACAGTGAGTGCATGTCTGTCAGATTATGTGTTGACAGAATAACTACATATCTAACTATCTTCAAAGAGATGAAATAACAATTACAGCAACAAATGCATGTGGAAGGCAGGGACACCAGGTCACCAGGGCAACGTGGTGACTTTGTGCATGTCTGCATTTCCATTTCCTGTCCTTTGGGCATCACATTTCTGAGATCTCTGGGTATCAGAGCAATGACTGACCTAATGTGATGGTAAAGAATCTGGATCTAAGCCAGAGGCACAGGTGTGAAAGAATTCACCAAAGACAGAGTGGAGGACAGAAAAGGGGGACTTGGGGTGCAAGTAGGCAAGACAGGAGAAATCTGTCCCTAGGGAGGATTTGTTCTTTTTATAACTTGATTTCTTGGGCTTTCTGTGGCTGAGAGGTTGGTCTCAGCAGGTTGCTATCTGCTAGGCCATCTCTCTGTGTATGACTTCCACATGGGGGTTGTCCTGGTGGGTTCTGATTGCTCTGTTTTGCATTTCCCGCAAAATTCTTGATAGCCCCTATTGATGGTTTGACTTGTGGCCAGGTTCCCATGGCAACCCTGTTGACTCTCTTATGTTTTGTGTCCCAGCTTTGTTTAGCTGAGCAAAGTGCAGAGACCAAGACCAAGTTTGGATTTTGATTGATATCCTGACACCTAACTTGTGCCCTTCTGACCCCACAGACGAGTCCCAAGCCTTTGTGAGCCACAGAGCCACAAGAACCCAGGTTCTTGTTACTAGGTTCTCACAGAGCTCCTCAGCATTCAGACTGGAGAGTACCCAGGTGATTTAAGGCACCTGGCTTTGCAGAGGCCATAGAGCAGACAGATAGGACAGCCCAACCAGGATCCACCAGCACCACTGCCACTTTCTGACTTCTGCTGGGCTAAGGCTCCTGCCCCTCACCTGGGCTCTTACCCTCTCCCCTGGCCTGTTGTCCTGCGACCCTTTTCAGGCCTTGATGGAATCAGACCCTTAAGAGTACAGACAAGTCCTAAGGGTGAGGCAGGAAGTATGGGGCACCAGGCTTGACCCAGTCTTTCCTTGCTTTGTACCTCTGTTACAGGATTTTTGTGTGTTCTGGCTACTCACTATTCATAAGCCAAACCTTAAGACATGAGTTGGTGGAAAGAAATCAGGTTTAATCTGATACTAGTGATACCGTAATTTCAGGCTTGCAGGCCTAGTCTCCCAGCCAGGACCGGATCCCAGGCTGCAGCGCTGAGCCCCGGCCACTGCACCGCCAGGGCTTGGTGTCTCTTGAAGCTGCAGCAGGAACTTCACTGATGCTCAGGCAAGCAAGTGAAAAGAGGCAAATTTGTTCAGAGAAAGAAAAAGTTTAGTGATGAGAGTGGGACTCCCAGGCCAGTGAACCCAGGTCAGGGCAGGGCAGGGAAGCCAGGTGGAGTCTCAGGGGATAGAAACCTCCTGTCCCTGATTGTTTCAAAGCTCCGCCACAATCTTTGTGCTTGGTTAGTCCTCAGGTGGCTGAACTCACTGCCCTAAAGTTTCTGTGTCTTAGCACTTAGCATACTTTTGTTCATCATTTTTGTTCTGGAATATCCTATTGCCCCTAGTCCTGGAGTGTTTGATTAATTCCCTTTGAAATTTGTTGCCTTTATCTCTGGAGCCTTCCTTAACTCTCCTGCAGTCCCTGCCCAGGCAGCCTGCCCCTAAAGCTACCTAATTGTCCCTAACTTGCCCTATGCCTCATTAGCAAACCTGAGGGCATGATAGATTTTTGTCACAAAGGCCATTTCCCTGAATTGGGGAGAAGCAGAGACTTATATGGGGGGCTACTAAGGAAGGAAATAAACTAAAAAGTCTGCATCAGTTTGATTTCAGAGCAATAGGGAAGATGTTTCAGGAGTTGTATTCATGCCTTTTTTTCTTCCAAGGTTGGTTCTGGACCAGATCTGTCATGATGCTTGTGGATCTGGTTTTTACTATGGTAATGAAGTTGTGTTTTAACCTTTGTCTTACTGTTATAAGGCAGGATGAGGGGTACCTCAGAACCCCCAAACCTGCCTACTCTAAATAGGTTCTGCTATCTGCTGCATCAAGACAAAACATATAAGACCTTTAATGGAAAGGAAATGTAATATAATTGGTGTGCAACAACAACAACAACAACAACAACAATACAATAATCTTTTCAAATCCTGCATCCGAAGTTATCCATCCTCTCGGGGGTGAATGCTCAGCCAAGCAGGGTTGGCCCAAAGCAGGGACACTGAGGCCCACAGGCCTATCGAAAGTCTAAAGTCTGCCACAAGTACAAGGCAACTTTTGTTAGAAGGACCCATAGGAAGGGGGCAGAAGGGACCCAGCACATCTGGAAGGAAAAGAGCAAAACCAAAATCAAGATGAAAGCTGCCATTGTTTACCTCCCCACAGGTCTCTCACCCACCTGGTGTTTCAACCAGTCCAGGACCATAAACTATTGCAGCTTCTTCACATATCTCTTCTTCATGTGCCTACCCCAGGTCTCTTTCTGACTCTTCATCCTTCTTCCTCTTTCTTTAGTCTCCCATCCAGCTTCTTCTTCCTGCTCAGCTCCTTTCCTTGGGTGGAACAGGGAATTTGGAACGTCCCCTTTTCCTGGGGACCACCCTGTTATAATACTGCTACCTCCATTTTGGTTTCAGCCAGTTTTGCCTGGTTTTTGGTTTTGTCTGCAAGAAAAGGAGCAGAACTAGGATATAAGGATAAATGAGGCAAGGGCAAGGAATTTATGGTTACCAGGCTGGGGACAATTCCCTCCTCTGTCTGTACCCTGCCCCTTATTTTTGAGGGGCAATGAATAGAATTCCATCTTATGCTAAATATGGGTGGCTGTTTGGGAGCCCACTGAGGGCCAGAATCTTTCCCTAGTTAACCTGAGTGTGAGTGGTTATCACCCCAATTGTTTATGTTTTTAAATTACAATTATTTGGAAGTTTTAATGTCTCTAGCCATTTGTAGACAAGGAAACTAAGTAATTCAGGAGACAAGGGCCAAAGAGCTAAAGAAATAAGCGTAATAAGAGTGACCATGAGACCAAGTAAGGGTTCCATCCCGCCAAACTAATTAGAAAGAACTTTGTTTATAACAGGAGTCCAGGGTAAGAATTCCATTTTTTCAAGATGCCCCATCTCCCATCTCTGGATAGCCCCTCAGTTCTCTGCATTCTCACTTCCAAGAAGCTCAGCCCAAGACAAGATTGTTGTTATAGCATCTGTAAGTATAAGCCATATAAGCATATATATATATATATATATATATATATGTGCTATGGTCTACAAATAATTTAACCACTCAGCCTGGGTTACTCCCATACCACTTTTCTGATAGCCCCATCACTCTCAGCCTCTTTCTCCTGATCCACCTTTGCTTCCTCTCAGCCTAGCCCACTCCGAGCTCCG